ACCAGACTTCTCCATGGAAGCTATAAAAGCCAGAAGGTCCTGGATAGATGTTCTACAAACACAAAGAGACCACAGATTCCAGCACAGACTACTATTCCCAGCAAATACACTCAAAATAACATGGGCAATAGATAGTCTTACCTTCCCAAAAATCAGAAATTGGGGGAAAACTCATACACAAAACCACCACCAAAAAACGGTTCCAAAGCAAACAAGAATCAACAATCGACAGTCATTAATATCCCTGAATATCAATGGTCTTAACACACCTATAAAGAGACACAGGCTAACAGAATGGATATGAAGACAGAATCCATCCTTCTGCTACATATAAGAAACACGCCTCAATTTCAAAGACAGACGCTACCCCAAGGCTAAGGGGTGGGAAAAGACTTTCCAATCAAATGGATGTAAGAAGCAAATGGGTGTAGCTATCTTAATATCTAACAAAATTGACTTCAAACTAAAATTAATCAAAAGAGATGAAGAAGGTCATTTCATATTCATTATACAAAAAATCCATCAGGAAGTAGTCTCAATTCTGAACATATATGCCCCAAATATAAAGGCAACCACATTCATGAAAGAAGCATTATTAGAACTCAAATCACACATTAAACCCTACATACTTATAGTGGGAGACTTCAGCACCCCACTGTCACCACTGGATAGGTCCATCAGACAGAAACTTAAGAAAGAAACAATGGAACTAATAGAAGTTATAAACAGACATTTGTAGAACATTCCATCTAAACAAAAAAGAATATACCTTCTTCTCAGCACCACATGGAACCTTCTATAAAATTGACCACATACTTGGCAATAAAGCAAGTGTCAACAAATACAAAAAAAATGGAATACCCCCTGTATCTTGTCGGACCACCACAGCTTAAAATTAAAATTCAATGTCAACACAATTTGCAGAAACCTCACAAACTCATGGAAATTCAACAATGCTGAATTGCATCACACCTGGCTAAAGGACGAAATAAAGAATGAAATCAAAGACTTCCTAGAATTCGATGAAAATGAAGGCACAACATACCCAAACCTTTGGGATACTTTGAAAGTAGTCCTAAGAGGAAAATTCACAGCATAAAGTGCCCACATGAAGAAACTGGAGAACTGTCACACTAGAGAATTAGCAGAACAACTGAAAGCACTAGAAAAAAAGAAGCAAACTTACCCAGGAGGAGTAGATGCCAGGAAATAATTAAATTGAGAGCTGAAATCAATAAAGTAGAAACAAAGCAAACAATACAAAGAATTAATGAAACAAAGAGTTGGTTCTTTGAGAAAATCAACAAGATAGACAAATCTTAATCAAACCTAGCCAAAAGATAGAGAGAGAATATACTAATTAACAAAATCAGAAATGAAAAGGGGGACATAACAAGAAACACTCGGGAAATCAAAAGAATCATCAGGTCATACTTTGAAATCTTGTACTCCGCTAAATTGGAAAATTTAAAGGAAATGAATGATTTATTGGATAGATATCACTTACCAAAATAAAATTAAGAACAGATAAACAAAATCATTATTAGGGAGGGGCATTTAAAGTAGTCAAATACCATCCTAGAACCTCCAACGAAAAAAAAGTCCAGATGCCTTCAGTGCAGAATTCTACCATAAAATAAAGGAAGTCATAATACTCTTCAAATTGTTCCATACAATAGAAGCAGAAGGATCACTGCCAAACTCTTTTTACCAGGCTAAAATTACCTTAGTAGCCAAACCATACAAAGATACAACCAAGATAGGAAATTTCAGACCAATATCCCTCATGAACATTGATGCAAAAATACTCAATAAAATACTCCCAAATCAAATCCAAGAACACATCAAAAAATTCATCCACCATGATCAAGTAGGCTTAATCTTAGGGATGCAGGGATGGATCAACATACGAAAATCCATCATCAAACTAAATGGAGACAAACTCAAGGCAATTCCTCTAAAATCAGGAACAAGACAAGGATGTCCACTCTCTCCATATCTCTTCAATATTATACTTGAAGTTCTTGCCATAGCAATAAGAAAACAAATGGAGATCAAAGGGATACAAATTGGAAAGAAGTCAAACTCACTATTTGCAGATGATATGATAGTCTACATAAGTGATCCAAAGAATTCTACCAGGAAAATCCTACATCTGATAAACACCTTCAGTAAAGTGATAGGATACAAAATTAAATAAAAAAATCAGTATCCCTACTATATATAGACAATAAAGGGGATGAGAAATAAATCAGAGAAACGTCACCTATGCAATAGCCACAAACACCATAAAATATCTTGGGGTAACTCTAACCAAACAGGTGAAAAACCTGTATAACAAGAACTTTGAGTCTTTAAAGAAAGAAATTAAAGAAGATATCATAAAATGGTAAGATCTCCCATGGTCTTAGATAGGTAGGATCAACACAGTAAAAATGGCAATCTTACCAAAAGCAATCTACAGATCAATGCAATCCCTATCAAAATACCAGCACAATTTTTCACTGACCTTGAAAGTATAATCCTCAACATTATATGGAAAAACAAAAGACCCAGGATGGCCAAAACAAGCCTGTACAATAAAGGAACTTCAGGAAGCATCACTCTCCCTGACTTCAAGCTCTATTATAGAGCTATAGTCTTGAAACAGCTTGATATTGGCACAAAAACAGACAGGTAGACCAATAGAATCGAATGGAAGACCCTGATATAAACCCACACACCTTTGAACACCTGATCTTTGACAAAGAAGCTAAAACTCTACAATGGAAAAAAGAAAGCATCTTCAACAAATGGTGATAGAGTAACTGGATGCTGGCATGTAAAAGACAGCAGATAGATCTATATCTATCACCATGCACAAAACTTAAGTCCAAATGGATCAAAGACCCCAACATCAATCCAGCCACACTGAACCTCTTAGAAGAGAAAGTGGGAAATACCCTTGAACAAATTGCTACAGGAGACGGTTTCCTATAACATAACACCAGTAGCACAGAGACTGAGATTGACAATTGATAAATGGAACCTCCTGAAACTGAGAAACTTTTGCAAGGCAAAGGACACTGTTAACAAGACAAAATGACAGCCCACAGAATGGGAAAAGATATTCACAAACCCCACATCTGACAAAAGACTGATCTCCAAAATTTACAAAGAACTCAAGAAACAAAACTCCAGAATACCAAAGGATCCAATTAAAAAGTGGGCTACACAACTAAATAGAGAATTCTCAATAAAAGAATCTAAAATGGTCTAGCGACAGTTGAGAAACTGTCCTTAGCCATCAGAGAAATGCAAGTCAAAACAACTCTGAGATACCATCTCACTATTGTCAGAATGGCTAAAATAAAAAACACCAATGACAGTTTATGCTGGAGAGGATGTGGAGAAAGGGGAAAAGTCCTCCACTGCTGGTGGGAATGCCAACTTGCACAGCCACTTTGCAGATGGGTATGTAGATTCCTCAGGAAAATGGAAATCAGTCTACCACAAGATCCACCAATTCCACTGTTAGGCATACACCCAAAAGACGTACACTCATATAATAAGGACATCTGCTCAACTATATTCATAACAATATTATTTGTAATAGCCAGAACCTGGAAGCAACCTAGATGCCCCTCAACTAAACAGTAGATAGAGAAAATGTGGTAAATTTACACAATGGGGTACTACTCAACAGGAAAAAAATAGAGTCTTGAAATTTGTAGGCAAATGCATGGCACTAGAAGAAATCCTGAGTGAGGTACCCCAGTCACAAAAAAACAAACATGGCATGTACTCTCTCATATATGGATTTTAGACATAGATCTGGGGAGTGGCATTCTACAATCCCACGGCAAGAGAGTCTGGGAAACTGAACCTTCAACCAATGACTGATGGAAGCAAAGGCAGAATCCCACAGCTAAACACTGATATATGGATTTTAGACATGGAACAGGCATTGCCATCCTACAATCCCACCGCCAGAGCGTCTGGTAAGTAGAGAGGAGCCTAAGAAAGATATGTATGGTAACCACAAGAAGGGTTATGGAACGAGATCTCCTAATTGGATTGAGGGGTGTAAAGGGCAGAAGGAGATGGGAGAAAGAGAAGGGGAAAAGAGGAGGAGAGAGGAGTACCTGGGAGAACAGGAAGGTTGAGCCAGGGTAAGAACAGAGTAAAGAAGGATGAGAGATACCATAATAGGAGGAGCCATTATAAGTTGGAGGAGAGATCTGGCACTAGTGAGATCGTCACAGATATACAAGAATGACACCAACTGGCATTAAGGCTACCTTAAATGCACTCCCATGATATACCATCCTAGAACCCTCATCCAGTGGCTGAAGGAAGCAGAAGCAGATACCCACAGCTAAAAACCGAATTGAACACCTGGAACCCAGTTGCAAAGAGGAGTGATGAGCAAAGGAATCAAGATCAGGCTGGCAAAATCCACAGAGGCAGCTGACCAAAATAAGGGGGAATGCATGGACCCCAGACTGGTGACTGAGGGGCCAGCATGCGACTGATCCAGACACCCCCCCACACTCTGAACCTGGGTGTCAGAGAAAAGGCCTCGGCAATCTATAGGTCCTTGGAGAGTACAGCAGTATTTATTCCTGGCACACAAATAGACTCTTGGAGCCCATTCCTCATGGGGGGTTGCTCTCCCAGCCTAGAAACTTTGGGGAGGACCTAGGCCCTACCCAGGATGAAATGACAGACTCTGAAAATCCCTCATGGAAGCCCTTACCCTCTCTGGGGAGCCGAGGGGGGAAGGAGTGGGGTGGGGGTTTGGGAGGATTGTGGGGCCAGGGGAGGAGGGGAAGGAGAGGGAACTGAGAGTAACATGTAAAAATTAAATAAAAAACATAATAAGTTCTCTTCCTGTAAGCGACCTGAGGTAATCTGCGAAGGTGGTTTGCTACTCTCTCGACCCGGAAAACCCTCCAAAATCATGCAAGTCAAGAAGTTCAAATCTCCAGGTTCACTTTAAGGATAACCGTGAAACTGCCCAGGCCATCAAGGGTATGCATATCCAAAAAGCCACCAAATACCTGAAAGCTGTCACTTTGAAGAAGCAATGTGTGCCGTTCCGGCGGTACAATGGTGGAGTTGTCAGGTGCACCCAGGCCAAACAGTGGGGCTGGACACAGGGTCGGTGGCCAAAAAAGAGTGCTGAATCTTTGCTGCACATGCTTAAAAATGCAGAGAGCAATGCTGAGCGTAAGGGTCTAGAAGTAGATTCTCTGGTCATCGAGCACATCCAGGTGAACAAAGCACCTAAGATGTGTCAACGAATTTACAGAGCTCACGGCCGGATTAACCCATACATGAGCTCCCCCTGCCATATCGAGGTGATCCTCACGGACAAGGAACAGATTGTTCCAAAGCCAGAAGAGGAGGTTGCACAGAAGGAAAAGATGTCCCAGAAGAAACTGAAGACGCAGAAACTTATGGCACGGGAATAAATTGAGCATAAAAGAAATGCAGATAAAAGTTAAAAAAAACAACAACATAATAAGTTGAAGTGAAATGCCCCAATTGCCTCATTATTTATAATATTGTATCAATTTCTGAATTAAGAATCCCCTTGATGTATATTCTGAATGGGATATATATATATATATATATATATATATATATATATGAGAGAGAGAGAGAGAGAGAGAGAGAGAGAGATGTGTGTGTGTGTGTGTGTGTGTGTGTGTGTGTGTGTGAAGATTCAAAACTGAAACCACAAATGAGAGAAAATGTATGGTAACATGTTATTTGTCTTTCTGGGTCTGAATTATTTAACTCTGCATGATTGTTTCCAGCATCATTCTTTTATGTGAAAATTGTATTTGTAATAGCTTATTTACTTGAATGCATTACATTTTAAATATAGGCCCTCGGTTAGTAGACATCTAGAAGTTCCTACTTCCTGTACATTTTGAATAGAGCACCAACAAGCATATGAGTGATCCGATATCTTGATAGTATATCTCTATAGCCCTTTGGGTATATGCCTAACAGTGGAATATCTGGATCAAGTAGAAGATCTATTTCTGACTTTTGGGGGAGGTTTCATATTGGTTTCCTTCACTCCTGCATTAAATTACAGTCCTGTGTGTTCTTCTTTACCCACATTTATTCATTTTCTTTTGATTTTGTGTGTGGGTGCTATTTTCTTTGTTTTTGTTACATTTTCTCCTCCTCCTCTTTCTCTTATCCATTCTGTCTGAAGTAAAGAAAATCTCAAAATAGGTTGAATTTAAATTTTTATTTTCCTGATACTAAAGGATGTTGTTTCTCAACCATTTTTTAATTTTTGATAATTCCCTGTTCATTACCCTATTTTGAATGGGAATGTCTGCTTCCTTGTATGTATGTGTGTGTGTGTGTGTGTGTGTGTGTGTGAGAGAGAGAGAGAGAGAGAGAGAGAGAGAGAGAGAGAGAGAGTGAGAGAATTTGTTACTTTAGTTACTTTATGGTTGCACATGGGATTGGGATGATATTGGTTAATTTTACTGGGGAGAAATCACTTACATGAGAAACTGACAACCCAGTATCAATACTCCAAGGATTCAAGCTCAGTTGCCTTCCATGAACCGACTGGAACCTAGAGAGTTCACAAGCCTGTCCCTCACATCAGAACAAATCCAGCATGCTCATGTATGCACCTGGGACCACAACCATAGGTGTCTGATTGATCTCTCAATACATTACTTTGTAAAATTCATAAATATTTTTCCTACTTAGTAGTTTACTTTTTAATAAATTGGTGGTATCTTTTGTTTTACAGAAGCATTTTAGTATCATGAGGCCCTATTTGTCAAAAGTTGATTTTAATGCCTGTGCCACTGGGGTACTATTCAGAAAGTTTTCTCCTGTGCCAATGAGTTTGAGCAAATTTCTTACTTTATTCTCTATCATGGTCAAGGTTTCAAGTGTTTGCTAATGTCCTTGACCCTTTTGGAATTGAGTTTTGTGGAGAGGGATATGCCCTATGCTTATCTGAATATCTACTGAAAGCTGATGTCTGCTTAGGGAGGGAGAATTAGTTCTCTAGAGGTGTGACATATATAGGTTTCCCATGCTCAAGTAGATGGGTGTTTACCCATGTGCATGCTGGCATCACTAACTAGACTTAGTTGACTATTTTTTAATGGACATGAACTTGATAAGGGGACTCAGTATGGGAGGAATTAGAGGAGGAGATTAGGGGAAGACATGATAAAAAGATATTCTATATATGTATATCTCAAAAAATAAATAAAATGGCTTTAAAAGAAATTTTAATGTAATTGTATTTTCTGTATTCCATTTTCACTAAAATTGGATTCTCAAATAAACTTTTGCATTCATTTCTTTACTACATTTGAATCATTTTTTCAGAAGAGGTAACCAATAAACTCCTATTCAGTAGTTTCTGGAGTGGTTTTACAACTTTTTTCTTTAATCAAAACAAAAAAAAACCAACTTTCTTCGGAGAAAAAAATCTCACTATAATGTCCAGGCTGGCCTGAAACTTACTGTGTAGTTCAGGCTGGCCACAATGTCCTAGAGATCCATCTTCTTTTTGCTCTTCAGTACTGGGGTTAAGGTGTTTAGCTAATTTTCTTTTCTAACATTGTTTTTCACTCAAGTTCATACATCCCATATCACCTGCTCAATTTCCATCTGTTGACTCTACCCAAACATCAGATGATTCAAAGTTTTAATACAAAAGTAAGATTAATCATCATTGGAAAATAGAACGTGGTGAGATGAATAGAAGTGAATTGACTCTACCATACAGTGTAGGTGCCAAGAACTTCTATTCTGTAAGGGGATGTAGTTTGACATGGAATGTTCTAATTTGATGAAATCTTCTTTTCTAATTGGTGGATTTTGGGAAAAAGTTTTGTACCCTGAGAACTCGGGAGTACTCAGTGAATTAATCCTTTGTTGGATGGTGCTGTTGAGAGGGAGAAACTAAGAAGAGGTATGAGCCCCCACCCCTCTTCTCTCTATCCCATAGACACTACTAAGCCTTAGGAAACTCAAAAGGGATGTACGTAATGGTGGAGTAAAGACTTCTGTAAACCTTTCTGCATAAAATCAGTGAGAAATCTGACAAAAAAAAAGATCATCATCAACTTTTTAAGAAGCCTTACCACTGGGAGAAAATGCTTGTAAAACTGTCCAATATAAAATAAAATAGCTAAACTTTGGCAAGGACAGTAGGTATCCTGACATTTACTACAATGGGTATGACACAAACTCAGGCTTTCTCTTGCTCCATAATGGTCTCATAAAGAAACTAGCCCGGCTCTTTTGTGATTATTCAGAAATTGGCAGCACTGCAGCCATCAGTGAATTCAGGTCAGTTGTGGATGTCTGCAAAGAGCCCCATGACAAGTTTGTCATTTTATATATCTCCTACCTCACTGGGTTAGGCCTATTTTCAGTAGTTTGTTTCATTTTGCTTTCATTTTTGTATTGGCAATCTACTACTGGCCATGGTGGCTGGCCTTGAATGGTTTGTATCGCAAGGGAGATTATATTGGAGCAAACTAAGTTTTCATTTGCAAGCAATTAGAAACTGGAGATTGCTTTTGGATTAAGGATGGGGCTTGTGTCTACTTCCCCTCCCAGCATTGGGATACTTTCAGGCCCAGATGTGTGCAGGCTACGTGCACAGGCTCTATTAGTTCATACGTGGGTTGGTCTTACTGTATTCAGAAGACATCATTTTCTTGATGTGCTTCATCTTCTCAGGCTCTTACAGCCTTTCTGCTTCCTCTTTGGCAAGTACCTATGCCCAAGGAATAAATCCCATTTATAACCAAGTGTTTGATATGAAATGTCCTACTGTATATAATGAATATGCTTTGCTACTTTTGTTGGTTGATGGATAAAGTTGTTTTGGCCAATGGTCAGAAAAAATATAGCTAGGCAAAAAGATGCAGAGACAAGGCAGAGTCAGGGAGATGCCATGATACTGCCAAAGATTATCATGCCCAAGCATTAGGGGTAAGCCACATCCTTGTGGCAATACATAGATTAATAGAAATGAATTAATTTATGAAAGAGAGCTAGCCAGTAATAGTCTGAACCATTGGCCAAACAATTGTAATTAGTATTAGGCATCAGAGTGTTATTTCATAAGCGGCTGTGAGGCCCCTTTGGGTAGGAGAGAAGCCAGTCCATTGGAAATCGGCAAAAAATAGAAAACTTTTAAACTACAAATGCTGCAGGATCTCTCAATTTCTGCACATTGCTCAGCTCTAGGTCTCTGTGTTTGTTTTCATCTGCAACAGGAGGAATCTTCTCTGATGATGACTGAGCAAGGCACTTATCTATGAATATAGTACGATATCATTAGGAGTAATTTTATTGCTATGTTCCTTTAGCAGAACAATAGATTTTGGTTTACCCCTAGTACCCCGGTATATCTAGTCTTAGGTTATTGGCAACTCTACCAGTGTCAGGGTTGCATTTCATCTCATAGAGTAGGCCTTCAATACAACTGGCTGTTTGTTGGTTACTCCCAAGCCACTATTGTACTAGTGTAACTTCCACACAAGACCACATTGTAAATCTAATGGTTTGTAGATAAGTAGATAGTCACCTTTCTCTTTTGAAAGCATGCAGTGTACCTCATAGTACCATGAAGACTTCTCAGTAGGGGTAAATGCTATAGTTAAGCACCAGCTTGACTTCTCCATGTTCAATGAATTGTGTAGGTGTTATCTTCAGCAATGGCAACTTACCATCAGTTTGTGAAGAGCAACTAGTAGATTTGGCAATATCCTGGATTGTTGAGGGATTTTTATGGACCCTTTTGGTCAATAAATCATTTAGGTTTAACCCACTCCCAGTACTTCAGGGTTCATTTGGTGATGAGAGAGGTCCAGTTTGGGGCAAGATTGGCCATTTGGGCAACAAACTGCTCTTGCTTAGACTGCTTGACTGTTGTATAATCTGGACATGCAGGACCCACAGGAAAGTGCCTGCTTAACTCAAACAGTCCTACAGGGTTCCTGCTTCATGGAAGAGTCTATGAGACTTTCTGCAGGACACAGAAAAATGAATGACAGACTGCCGATGCAGATGGACAGTTTGAAATTTCCTGCTTTGCTGAGAAATCTTCTGGACACATTGTGGCCTATGGCATGAAGATAGATGCCCCAACATTACAGAGGAACTTCGGGTGACTGTCCAGGCAGCAAGATGTCTCTGTCAATCCTAGTGTTTATATATTATCCTTCTGTGGTCTTTGATAGAGTTGAAGGCAGATAGTTATAAGTATAGTTTTCCTTAGTTATGATAAAAGATAAGCTACATATAGAACTTTGGACTACCAGAATGGGATGGATGATATTTTTTTTAAATCTTGTTAAATGTTGATAGACAAAATGTTGTAACTGTATTCTTACCTGATAACTGTTCTGTTATATATAATTTGACTATATTAAAGTTAAGACCTTTCTTTTTGTTTAGACAGAAAAGAGATGATGGGGGAAGTCCTGTG